CTAGCAGCCCTAAGCCTGGAGGTCTCTCCCATCCCACTAATCCGTCGGAGAACTGGGTGGAGGCCCATCCTTTGGCCCTGAGCCAGCTGCTGACACACTGTTGATATACAGAAAGGATTTGATGTGCTGATACTGGTTCAGCAGGTATGTGAGCAGAGATGAAGCAGAAGAGAAAGAAAACAGGAGCTGCTGAAGTAGAAGGACTGAAAGCAGCATAGGTGAGTACTGTGGCTGGGGGGTAAGAGATTGGGCCTGGGGCACAGTGGCTGACAAAGGGGATTACAGGAGGAAGGGATGCTGAAGAGCAGCTGAGAGAAGAGGATGGTAATATGAACAAATATAGAATGATACAAAGAGTCTTTTCAGAAGGCTAGCAAAAAGGAAGATGTGGCTGAACAACAGTTGTGAACAGCCCCAGAATCGATGGAGAAGAGTGGCTGACCTAAAGAAAAGCTGTGTGACCTCCAGCTTAGAAAGAAAGAGAACTGCACAAGTAAGAGACACAGTAGAAAGTCCAAAAAATCTGGGTCAAAAAGGAGAACTAGACAGGAAGAAAGGAATTAAAGACTGGAACAAAAACATAGAGCAGAGAGGGCACTGGCTAGGAAAAATTAAAACCTGATTCAGAGAAAATCTGAAATGAGAATTATGTGTTTGTACAATTTAAAGTTGTTCAGTGTACCACCATTTTAAAATGAGAGTTCAGTGTGTGGAATATCTATTGTAAATACCTAATATCTCTTATAAATACCTCAATGTAAAACTTTCTATCTAGAAAAACTATTTTTCTCTGTATTAAGTCCAGACCTGCCACTCAAAAAAGAGTTTTAATAACTAAAGTATTTTCTGCGTATTTGTTTTCATTTTACTCTCAATCCAGAGTTTGCAATCTGTTTTTTTCAACACTAACAACATGGGAATCACAAAATTACATGGACTGGTTATTCTGGTGACAGCAGGAATCACTGGAGCAATCTGGTGGGTGTTTAAACTTCGATAATTATTCTCTATTAGCATATATTTCTCTTGCCTAGATTGAGAGATGTTTCTTCTGACTGTACATATATAGGTACAATGTAAGCATTTGCACAAAGCTGAATTCAAAAGATCAAAATAACTGAGTGTGCACACTTCTAATCTTCTTTGTGACATTCTAAAAATATGATGAATTCGGCTCTGCATATTCCTATGAGCCCAAGTGTGTGTTTTCATGTTTAAATACCACAATAACACCTCTGTACTCCAGACCAACACAAGGATCCTGGCACAGAGCTAGACCTCTATGTGGTGGACTCAGCCATATTTATCCTGCACAATTATTATCCTGGGTCTCGCTGGGCTAGCATGCCTCTGTAGTAGTCTACTACGGTGAGGCTTTTGTACTATGTGTACAGTGCTCTGGACCCTGAAATGAGATCAAGTGGGGTAATTCAGAATGCAGAATTTGCGGGAATGATACTGGAGAACTCTTCCAACTGGTGGAATTAGGACAAGCTTCTCAACCATATACTACTCTCTCTGAGGGAAAACATCCATCACAAATGCTCATGTTTTTGTTGACAATACAATTTGGCTCACACTCTGGTCAGAGTAGAGACAAAGTGATGGTGTAAACGCCTTGCTTCAAAAGGCAACTACACAGTCAGTTTCTAGCAGCACCTGTGACCAAGATCTGTTGTAAAGCAGTCACATTTCCTTTGGCATGAGTGTTCTTGGGCAAATTAAATCATCCACAGATCTTCAAAGTTAATATATCTTCAGGTAACTTTAGACTAGACAGCTGTCTTGAAACAACTGAGCATTGCAAATACTCATCATCATATTGACCCCACAAATCTGTATTCTGTTAGCTTTGTTTTATAGTTCCAGTCATAAAGGGAGTGGAGGACAGATTGATTTTTTTTTTTAATCGTTGAATCATTGCTTTCTTATCCTGTCCAAGGTACTATCACCTTTTCTCCCCAGCCAGAGGCCAGGAACCCACAGCCTCTTCTGAAAAGGATACATTACTCTAAGTTCCATTCTCCACGTTTTGCAAGATCCAGCATGTCTGTGATTCTAGGCCGTGAGGGTAAGACTCATCTGAAAAGACTAAATCTTAAGCAGAAGAGCCATGCCCTAGAAGCGCTTATTTCCATTTTGAGACACGTCATCCTGCAGTGACCAGCTAAGAGGCAGACACCTGTACTGTGAATGCCTTGAGCTGAATGAACAGGCTCATATTCCAGAGATTTAATATGGAGAAATACAAATCAAGTGATGCAGCTCCCCCAAAATCATGCAATGAAAAGACAGCTTAATCCCACCTGGTTTAGACACCTAGAAGCTAATTATCTACATATCTACATCCAGGCTTCCTTTGTAATCATTAAAAAGAAGTGGGCCCTGTCAAAGTCTATTAATCCCATACTTACTTAGAGATTTAGAGATAGTTATTCTATGTCATGTTCTTGCCCAAATAACACCCTGGGCAGCTAATTATGTTTCTACATCTGGGGTCACTGTTGTAAGATAATGTAAATACAAAGATAGGACCACCAAGATCTTTTATTTTCCTGTAAACCAGAAGTAAATCCTTTTAAATCAATACAGCTGACTTTTTAATTATTTAAACTCTGTGTGTGTGTGTGCGTGTGTGTGTGCAGACACATTTGTATGTGCATGTGTTAGGAGCAACTTAAGTAACAAGGAAACTATGTCAGACTCAGTGGAGACCTAGGACATATGCCATTCACACTACACATGCTTGATTAAGCAGAAAGGGATAAGAGCATAGCAGATATATGTGAGGAAGTGGTGAGTAGTTGTTAGTGCTGTTGGCACGGTAATACCAGAATCTCAATCTATCTCTGTTGGGTGTTCCTCTCTTTGAGAACTGCTGGTCAAACTGAGGGCAAAGAAGCAAATGCAAAGGCAGTGGAAACTAGGACAGGTAACCTGGGTAGAGTCCAGACATGAAGTTCAGTTGTGTAGGGATGGGGTGAGGAAGGCCAAGGGTTAGTTGGAGCTGAACCTGGCAATGGACACAAAGAATAACAGAAAGGGCTTCTATGGGTATGTCAACCAGAAAAGGAAGGTCAAAGAAGGTGTTACCCCCAAAAAGAGGATGCTGAAAAACTGGTAACAACAGATGAGAAGGTTGAGATAACAACTTTTTAACCTTAGTCTTAAATGGCATCCTCTCTTTCCACACCTCTCGAGTGGATGGACAGCACAATAGAACTTAGGGGGAAAAGTCCTTCCCACTGTAAGATAGGATGAGGTTCATGACCATCTGAGAAATCTGAATGTACATAATTCTATAGGGGACCTGTTGAGTTGCATCCTGGAATCCTGAGGGAATTGGCTGATTCCAAGACACTCTCCATATTTGAAAAGTTCTGGCAGTAAAGTGAAGTCACAGGTGATTGGAAAAAAGGGAAACACTGCACCCATTTTTAAAAAGGGTAGAAAGAAGGACCCTGGGAACTACTGCCCTGTTGGCCTCACCCCTGTGCCAGGGAAGATCATGGAAGAGACCCTCTTAGAAGCTCTGCTGAGGCACATGGAGGGTAGGGACAGCCAGCACAGTTTCACCAAGGACTAGTCCTGCCTGAACAACCCAGTGGCCTTCTGTGATGGGGTGACTCCAAAAGTGGACAAGGGAAGCGCTACAGATGTCATTTATCTGCACTTCCGTAGAGCCTTTGACACGGTCCCTCACAACATCCTTCTCTCTAAATTGGAGAGAGATGGATTTGATGAGTGGACTGTTAGGTGGATTAGGAATTGGTTGGATGGTCACATCCAGAGGATCATTGTCAATGGGTCATTGTCAATAGTTCAGAGGGTCATTGTCAATTAATATCTTAATTAATAACATAGATGAAGGGATTGAGTGCACCCTCACCAGATTTTCAGATGACAGGAAGCTGAGTGTTGCAGGTGACACACCTGGAGGTTGAGGCCATCCAGAAGGATCTGGACAAGCTTGAAAAATGGGCCCATGGGAATCTCATGAGGTTATAAAAGGCCTGTGTCAGGGCAAACCTGGGTATCAATTCAGGTTAGAGGATGAACAGATTGAGAACAGACTTGCTGAGAAGAACTTTGGGGTGCTGATGGATGAGGGGCTGGACACACTTCGGCCATGCGCACTGGCAGCCCAGAAAGCACCGTGTCCTGGTCTGCATCAAAAGCAGTGTGGGCAGCAGGTAAGGGGAGATTCTGACCCTCTGCTCCTCTCTGGTGAGAACCCATCTGCAGTACTGCCTCCAGCTCTGCGGTCCCCAGCACAGGAAAAATATTGACCTGTTGGAGCGAGTCCAGAGGAAGCCACCAAGATGATTGTAGGCTTGGAGCACCTCCACTATAAGGAAAAGTTGAGGGAACTGGGATTGTTCATCCTGGAGAAGAGAAGGCTTCAGGGTGACCTAATTTCAGCCTTCCAGTACCTGAAGAAAGAGACAAGAAAGATGGAGAGAGACTACTCACAAGGGCCTGGAGTGACAGACAGGACAAAATGGCTTCAAACTGACAGAGAGTAGGTTTAGATTAGATATCAGGAAGAAATGCTTCCCTGTGAGGGTGGTGAGGCCTTGGCACAGGTTGTCCAGAGAAGCTGTGGCTTCTTCATCCCTAGAAGTGTTCAAGGCCAGGTTGAATGGAGCTCTGAGCAACCTGGTATAGTGGAAGCTGTCCCAGCCCATTGCACAGCGGGTGGAACTAGATGATCTTTATGGCCCCTTCCAACCCAGGCCATAATTCTATAATTCTATAATCCTGTGGGAGGTACCTCTCTCCCACAGTAGTTCTATTGACCATGGAAGATCTGGCTCTTGTGGTATCATCAGAAAAACAGATTTGATTTATTGTCCTGACACATGTAGCTGTGATGAAACCCAGATCTACTCAACTGGAACCATTAGTCAACCTTGATAATATTATTTACCTTATTACTCTCCCATTTCTTGACTCTCATATTTGCCAACTGTGCACCTCCATTTCTCCCCTCTTCCCCTCTCTCAAATAAACAATTCACCTTTAATTATTTTTTATCCAGTGGTCACAGCTTTGCTACATCCAGACCTAAATTTGATATTTCTGATATTGTTACCTGACCTTGGATTTATATAGTATTACTGATATGATATTGGCCTTACAAGACCTTGGTCCCCAAAAGTCCCCAGCATCCTTTCTATTAGCTGTGAATCCTGACCATTTATCAAAAAAGTCCCCCTCTTAATGAACTGTGAAATCCAGCCATCTTTCACAGCTCTAGCTCTTGTTTCTGTCAGACTCCCACATTCTTATTTGTAATATCCAGCCATTTCTTATGTTTTGTACAGTAGCTTTCGGCATTTTGTTCAGTTAGCTTAACCTCAGGATCAGGCAGAGCCAACAGTCAAGCCTTTTGCCTGGAGCCCTGCTGATATGGGTCATTCTACTTATTTGGGCAATGTTTCCTGGAGTGTCTTAAGCAGAAAGAAAAGATGTAGTCAATCACATTAATTCTATTCTGAAATTACAGGCACAGTTGAAAGATCAGAACATTCTATCAAAGAAAATGCAAAGCAAAGAGAAGAAACCCTTTCACAGAATTACAGAATAATTGGGTTTGAACGAGACCTCTGTAGTTCATCTAGTCCAATCCCTTGCTCAAAGCAAGGTCAACTAGAGAAGGTTGCTCAAGGATTCGATTAGTCATCTCTTAAAACCTCCAAAGATGTAGCTTCCACAACGTTTGTGGGTAGCCCATTCTAGTACTTGACCACTCCAGTCACTTAAAGGATTTAAAATTCCTCATCTGTTACTGAAATTTCCTTCTCATCTGTGTATATCAGAGAAGAGCTTTGCTCTACCTTCTTTGTAGCCTGCTCCCATCAAGATAGCAGAAAGGTCTCCCTTTAGCCTTTTCAGCCTGAAGATAAAGAGGCCCTGTTATGTCGGCCTCTCTTCTTGTTTCACATGCTCCATCCCCCACTGGCCCAGTGGCATCGGCTGGATCCCACCTATACATCAATCTCTTTACTGTCCTGAGGAGTGCCAGACAGGACACTGCACTTCAGGTGTATCTCCCAAGTGTCAAGCAGAGGGAAAGAATTTCACTTTTATTAATGGCTAAAGCCCATGAGGCAGTTACTTTCCTGCTGACTCCTGCTTCACTTGTCTACAGGACCCTATTTTAGTCAGTCAGCCCCCAGCCTACCCTGTTGCATAGGGTTACTGTGGACCAGGTTGCATTTGCCTTTGCTGAACTTCATGTGATTCTCACCAGCCCATTTCTCCAGCCTTTCCAGATCCTCTGAATGGCAGCCCCACCCTTTGGCATATTGTCCACTCCCTCCAAGTTAATTTTATCCACAAACTTGATGATAAGTAACAGATTCTTGATATGGAGTCAAGAAAGATTTTAATCTGATAGTTTACCAGATTGAAATTTCCTGCATTTTTTGGTGCTTAATTTCATTTAACTGAACCATATTTTATTATTTTCCTGTATTGTTTTATGAATCACGCTTTTCTTGCACCCACTGCTTTTTTGACTTAGGCTTCTCTTCTTCATCACCTATCTCATAATATACACAGTTATGTTACTCCCTAGAAATGCTCCTTTAAATACATTCACAGTTGCACACACTATCCTTTGAGGAGTCTAGCATGTGTGACTAAAGAAGAAATAAATGTTAATGCCAATAAAACAATGTGACAAAAAGAATGTATTATTTTTGTAATTAATTTAAAATTTAAAAGATTCCAATATGAGATGGCATTTCCACAGCTCCCGCCCCTCTGCCCCCAAAAAGGTTAATAAGGCTAGACATCTTTCTGTGTTTGCCTATATGTGATCCTTCTAATTTCCCTCTATTATCCTGTTTAGTAGAATACTTTTAGTAGGTGTTTTCACTTTTTAAAACCTCTTTTCCCTACTGGAAATTCTAGGAATTAAGAGTGCAGGGGTCCCACTTGGTGACTCATCTACAGGAACCTGCATAAGCAATCAGAATGGAGAGCAGTGTCATCTGCTCTGTGATGTGTCCTATTAACTCCACAGTGCAGGCATGCAGAAATAAACGTATCAGGAAACCACCAACTGTATTGAAGGTGTTTGGCCTTATTGGACCAGGCTCTTACCATGTAAAAGTAAAACTGAATTTCCCAAAGGAACAGACCTGTTGAAAATAATTTTAAAATAAATTGATTTGCACTCAGCTTGAGTTACACCAGCTGAGCAGTCTGTTAAATGTAGCTGACACTGTATATGGAGGTAAAGTAATATAAATCATATTACAGTATTTATGATGGAGCCTAACTGTCTGGATACCCAGTGACATTGAATCAAGGGGTACTACTGCTGAAAGACATAAAGATCTCCTGTGGGGCTTATCCTTCTAGAAAAAGAAAATCTGAAACGTCTATGTCATGATGTATTTATGTATCTTTTATCTTTCCCTCATTTGCAGACAAACAGACTTTAATGAAACATCTCCAATGCTTTCATGGTAAGCATACTTCTCTGGATTCATTAACATGATATTACATTGTTCTAAGAAACACATGACTGTCTTTCTGGCACATACAAGTCAGGACAGACGAAAACAAGATTGAATTAACAGGAAAAGATGCCCACTTAGAAAAGGTACTCTTCCAGAAACCATTAAAAAGTACACAGATGCAGAATATTTAATTTGTTTGCCTTCAGAAAGGAAATACAAATTATAGTGAATGTTGAAAATCTTTTGGTTTAATTATACCTTAATTCCTTTTTCCCATCCCTTGTCACCATTCATCTCAGAAGTTAGAAAAAGAAGAGGTTTTGGCTGATACTATCTTTAGTGGTAACAATCAGCATTGTAGATGATGTGTGTCTGTAGAAGGGACATTCCAGGTCACTGGGATAAATTATCTTCTGCAATTGTCTATTCTAGAGCCATTGACTCTAGGAAAATAGTAGAAGAGATATGGACTCACTGGAGAGAGTTTGACAAAGGGCCACAAGGGTGATGAAGGGACTGGAGCATGTCTCCTATGAGGTAAGGCTGAGAAAGCTATGACCGTTCAGCACAGAGAGAAGGCTCTCTTATCTGTTCTGGGAAGCAGTTTGGCTGGACTTACTAGGAGAGCTTTAAAATACATTCAGCATGGGAAGGGGATGTTCTTCTGAGTGTCAGAGATAAACCAGGAAACAACACTCTAGGAAGGAGCAGGGAAATATCTGTGCATCATGCCAAAGGAATTAGAGAGAGCTCTTTCCAAAAGATGAAGAGATGGACAGCCCAGATGAAGTGTCTCCACAGCAATGCACATGGCATGGGTAACAAGCAGGAGGAGTGAGAAACCATGGTGCAATCACAAAACTATTAAATAATTGCTACCACAGAAACATGGTGGAGAGTTGCACATCTGGAACACTGCAGCTGAGGGCTACAAGGTTTCCAGGAGAGATAGGCTGGGAATGATGGACAGGTGTGTTGTGCTCTATGCTAAGGAGTGGATGGATTGTGAAAGAGCTGCCTCTGAGTAACAAACATAAACAGGTTGAGAGCTTGTGGGTTTAAAATCAAGGACCAACACCTATTTTAGATGTCTGCTCCAGGATAAGATGACTCCTACTGATTTCAAAGGGAGTCTGGGATGATTAACTCAGAGGCAGGCATCTGTGCTGAAGAAGCTTATGTTTGTCTTCATGAACTTCCTTGGCCATCTAAACACTACCTTCATTCTCAAACTCCTTGCAGGAGGTGGGATGTACTGGTGTTGACACCATGGTTGGCTCCAATTGTGTGGGAAGGCACATTCAGTAGAGACATCCTGAATGCTCAGTATATGCAGAAGAACCTGGTCACGGGAGTGGTCACTTTTGCTGTTAGAAACTACTGGTTTGTCATTTATTTCTTGTCAAATAGTTAAATTTATCACCTGCCAGCTATGCTGCAATACTGCTTGTGGAGCAGAAGTGAGACACATTCCAAAGACTGAGCATAAGCAGCTTTTGACTGTGAGAGAAAATCTCAGTGGGAGAAATATGATATGTGAGTGTCACCTTCCAAAACAGGGCAACTGACTGTGACATTGCCTTGAAAAAGGCAAAAACTATCCTTGGAAATATAATTAGAATTTTGATCCCTTGTGTTAAAAATTCCAGCTCCTGCTATGTTTCTAACAACAAGATTTCCCTCTAACCTGTGGTAAAAAATAGAAAAATTCAGTAAAGTTGAGGAGGGGTTTGGGTTTCTATAAGAGTTTAAATTAAAAATATTAGCTCTTGTAAAATTATTAATCATGATATCATAGCTTATAAGTTCTGGGATTGGTTCCCTTTGAGTTTCTGAGTAAAGAACTATACTCCATCTCCACTAGCATCCTAGATTTACACAGAGACTTCAGTTATTTCAAGGTAATCAAAACTATTTAATTGATAATTTTGATCCTCTCCTGCAAAAACAGGTTGAGAGAGTTGGGGTTGTTCAGCCTGGGGAAGACAAGACTCCAGGAAGACCTTAGAGCCCCTTTCCATACGTAAAGGGGGCCTACAAGAAAGTTGGAGAAGGATTTTTTACAAAGGTAGTGATAGGACAAGAGGGAATGGCTTTAAATTGAGAGTGTAGATTTAGATTAGATGTTAGGAAGAAATTCTTCCCTGCAAGGATGATGGGGCCCTGGCACAGGTTGCCCAGGGAACCTGTGACTGCCCCATCCCTGGAACTATTTGAGGCCAGGTTGGACAGGGCTTGGAGCAATCTGGGATAGTGAGAGATGTACTTGCCCTGGCAGGGGTCAAACGAGATGGTCTTTAGAGTCCCTTCCAACCCAAACCTCTGTTGATTCTGTGATCCTCTCTAGTAAGTGAAAATATTACACTACAGAAAAGTGCCAGGGAGCATGTAAAAAGGAAGGATGAGGAGAAGTATTTATAGAGCGGCATGAGGTAGAAGGCATGTATTCTGTACATCCATGACAGTATGAAAGAACAGTATAGTGGAAGCTAAAAAATGGTATAATGTGCAGGAGTGTAAGGAAGGGTTGAAGGGTAGTAGCTATGTTAAACAAAGAGCATTGACATAAGAAGGGAACAATGGATAGAAAAAGATAAACAAAATGAACTTGAAAAGCTGTCATTCTTCAGCAGGAGGAACCTGTCTTCATTCTTTTCCTTTTCATATCTCTCAGATATGTCCAGTTCATAGAAGGGTTCATAAGATCTGCCAACAAGTACTTCCTTGCTGGGCACCGGGTGAATTTCTACTTGTTTACAGACAATCCTGAGAAGATCTCTCACCCTCAGATGGCCCCTGAGAATCATCCCTGTTTGTCATCCCTGTCCACAATCACTCAAGGTGGCAGGACATCTCCACAAGCCGTATGGATATCATCAATACATATATCCACAGCCAATTCCAGTTTGAGGTTGACTGTCTCTACTCCATAGATATTGATGTCCAGCTATTGGCACACATTGGTGTGGAGATCATTGATACACTGGTGGGAACCCTCAGCTCTTGGCAGTTCACCACACATCATGAGAACAAAGCCTATGAGACACGCCCTGAGTCGCAAGTTGCAATCCCTAAGGGAGAAGGGGACTTCTACTATACATCAAGCTTCTATGGGGGAAGTGTGTCCGAGGTATACAAACTGACAAGAGACTGTTTTAAGGGGATCATGGAAGACAGAGAAAATGGCATTGAAGCTAGGTGGCATGATGAGAGTCATCTCAACAAGTATCTCCTGTACCACAAGCCCACGCGCCTGCTCTCTCCAGAGTACTACTGGGATGCAGAGCTAAGCTCACCCCCCATCATCCAGGTGAAAAGGATGTGCTCTGTGCACAAGGATAGCTAGAAACGACCTTCTGAAACAAGGAAAGCAAGTCTTTCCTCTCTACAACCCCATTGAATTCTGGGTGGTGGGCAAAATAACAATTTCCTTCTATTTGTAGGGCTGCACACAATTTCTGCACTATTATCCCATTAAGTGGGTCTCCCTAGCTAGTGTTAGGGACTACTAAACCCAGATTTTTTTTCTCTTAGTAACTGTTTTTCAACTTTTTGTTCTTTGACAATTCTTTCATCTGCATGTTTACAAGCACAGACTTCTACCCAAACTGGAAACATATAAAAATTGACAAGGACGTACTCAAAATGACAGTGTTTAGGCATCTGAATAAAGTCAATTTGCAAATTTACAAATGGTCCCCACAGTTTAAGGTACGCAATTATACTTGTCTTCTGCTGTCATACTGACAGAGCTGAAAAGCTCTCCTAACAATATGATGATTTAAGAATTTGAGCTATACATTGCTAGCAAGCATCAATCATTTACTCCTTAGTTTCTGACAAAATGAAAGCCCTTTCCTGATTAATTAAAAACATGTGTGAATTTACAAATCCTAAATGCATATGGACTATCAAAAGAAAATTAAATCATATTTGAAGTTTTTCAATTTTCCTTTTTCAGCATTAGCTATATTTTCAGATACAGCAAGATTTTAACAATTAGCTGAGTGACTTCATTAAAGCTTTCTATTGCTTTCATCCCGTTCCAAAGAAATGAGAATAGACAAATAACTGGAAATTATATGAACAAGAAAAAATTGGGGCAAACTAATCCTGCCACATAGCTGCAGTCATAACCTTTTTCTGTGGGCCACTGAATAGGCTATATGAGTAAGTTTATCTGTTATTCTTGCTGTACTCCTGTCACAAATGGGTAATTTAGACTGTCTAAAGAACCGCTGTCAAAGGGATCTGCAAAAGTGCTTCTGCTGAAACATAATGTAAAAGTGCTACTTAACAAAGTTTGATGGCAAAGTTCACTCTAATACCTATTGCACAAACAATATAACAGTGGTTCAAAACTACCAAGAAAGAATCAAAGTCACCAAGACAGAATTGGTAGTTACCATAATACAAGGTAATGCACAATATTGGTTGTTTACCAAATATCTATCTTTGTTGAAAGTTCTCTCTGCCTCAAGGAACAATCTTGAGAGGTGTCCCCACTCAAGGGTCATGCAGCCACACTGCCCAGCCGGGAGAGCTCAAAGAAGCCTCAGCTGACAAGCATGGAATAAAGTGGCTGCCTTGTAGTTCAGTTACCTGTGAGGGGAAAGGTGTGCATGAGATTCCTTGTACCTACACTCCTTGTACCTTTGTTCCTTGATAAATGATTATTGAAAAAACCATCTACTATTTATGTGTTAATTGCACGATCCCAGCTCGCATGATCCGTGCTCACTGGGTCACTCTGCCCCTTCATGGGTTTTCAGAGAACAGACTGGAGCAAGAGGAGTTCTTAGGCCTTCGCCCCCTTTAGAGCCTGAATCAAACTACTTTTGATTTGGTTAAGTAGTCACAACTTCCAGAGCCATTTTACCCTCACTTTTCAGAGAGCTCTAAATCAGTTCAGCCAGATTCACTGCAGAGTATTTCTTGCCTCTTGGGTGGTACAATTACTGTCAAGTGATCAAGTGAGCTATTATCCAAAACTGTGGTGGAAGAGAAGTTTTCCAAGCAATAAGAAAGTCTCCATATCGTCTTCTCAGATATATCTCCCAGAGAGATATGCTGGGCACTCAGCAGGAGCTTGAGCATCTCTCCCCTGAGCAGGAGTTAGGAGGCATCTCACTTTCTGTTGATGGATCTCATGTTCTTCATCCCTAGATACGTAGTCTCAATCAGTGGTGGTATTTAATGTAGACCACATTCATTACTGTATTGGGTCTGGCTGAGCTGGAGTTCATTTCCCCACAGCAGCCCTCACAATGCTTTGCTTTGAATTGGGAGCTAGGAAGGTGTTGAGAACGCACCAATGTTTTGGCCACTGCTGAGCACAGCATCAGCCCTGTAACATTCCTTCCTTAGTTGAGGGCAAGATCCTTGGAGGGGACCCAAGTAGTCCAGCTGACCCAAACTGACCAAAGGGATAATCCAGACCATGTGATGCCAGCTCAGATATAAAAGCTGAGGCACAGAGCAGGAAGGCAGGCATTCATTGTCTGCAGTGGCTGCCTGCTGAGGAACTGTTACATATGCTGAAGCCCTGCTTTTCAGAAGTGGCTGGACATCCCTGCTCATGGGAAGTAGAGAATAAACCGTGTTATCTTTCACTTCGCTTTTGCACACACAAGCTTCCGCTTCTCTTCAAATAAACTGCCTTATCCCAAGCCACAAATTGTTTTCCCCCTTACTCTCTCCCCTATCCAGCTGGGAAGGGGAGTGATAGAGTGGCTGGATGGGCACCTATCATCCAGCCAAGGTCTAACCACCACATTTATGCATTGCAACATTTGAAATAAAATAAAAGAAATTTCCTACTGATGTGACAAGCCTGGTATATCCAGCTCTCTGGCAGGGGGAAGAGTCTGAATGTGATCTCAGCCCCTTCCCCCATGCTGACTCTTTTTCCATGAAGAACAAGGGTGCATGTCTCTCTTGCACTAAGGGCCACAGCACTGGATACAGTACTCCAGGTGTGCTCAGCGGTGTTGAGCAGAGGGGAAGGATCCCTGCCCTTGACCTCTTGGCATTACTTTGCCTAATTCATCCCAGGATACTCTTAGCTTCCTATGTGGCATTCGCTCCCGAATCAAATAACAGCAAATTAAAGCAATATTGAATTATTACATCCTTTATTCCATAGCCAAGAAGAAGCATAGTGTCACCAGCGGGAGGGTTTCTTCCTCTTTTGTTATTTTTGTGTCTATACTCGGAGTTATTTTATCTTTCAAACAGCCTTTTTGCCAGCACTTGTTTCTATTTGGCTAACTTAGTTATTCAATTGCTTCAGTCTAATAAACCTTCTCCAGTCATGGTTTTATTTCTTTTGGACTGAAAACATGCAAATGCACAAAGCAAAACATAAATAAATAAAATTATAATGAAAAATGTGTTCATTAGTAGCTAGACAATTTGTTCTAAAAAAAACCACATAAAACATTTGGCTAGTCATAAACACAAGATCATGAAGTATTTCTGCTGTTGCAGCTGGGACAGCTCTGATCCAAAACCAAGTTAAAGAAAGGCTCAGTCAGTTTCTTAAATAATTTGACACATAAAACTAAAAATAATTAAAATAAGTTCAGATCAAGAGAAGACCCAACAAGATCTGAAGCATGATACATATTATTCTTATGTACCTGGAGATTGTCACCAACAGGTACAAGTGGGCTGGGGTCTTTGAGTGTCTCCACCCAAAGCTCTCTATAAAGTATTCTGTGAGGGCTGAGTGAAATCAATGTGTGAGTATACCTGAAGCACTGTGATCTAAGTTAAGATAGTGGACCAAGGCTGGACATAAATGTAGAGGAGCAAGGGGAAGTCAGAGGGTTAACATGTGTCTCGAATTTTCAAGCATCTTCCAGATCTCAGTCTGTTCACTTGAGGATTAATTCCTAGCTGTGACAGAGGATGAAGATTGTCTCTCATTTGTCTGGATTACATATCTGTCATAATATCTGTCATGAATGTGTTGTTCTATACTCCATACATTTTGTTTGGTCCTCTAATGTTACCTGTTTTATTGCAATTGTATCCCTTGAGAGTGGTTTCCAAGATCTGAAAATAGAGCAAGAAGATAACATCATACTCAAACTTGTTTTGTCTAAGGACTGGGCAGTAAAAGGTTACTGAAAAAGGGCCAGACAAGAGGAATCTCTGTGATATTGAGAGTTTTGTGATAAAGATTAGTGTGAAAGTTCTGAAGCATTCTGGTGAATTGAGTTAGCATAAGCTGGCTAAAGTAATCAAATAATTTAAGATTAATGGAACAGGACACAGACTGAGTTATAAGACTCAGAAAGAGTCAGTCACAGTTGTTACACTCTGGATTAAGCTACATGATGCCCAAAGTGGTCACATTTTTATTTAAGACTTTTTAAAAGCCTTTTGGTTCATTATAACCTCTAATTAGCATCCAGAGAAAGAATCACACACTCTTCTCTAAAAGAAATTCTTTTAATTTAGTGAGAAAAATAAGGTATTTTGGCAAAAGCTTTTTACAGGAGTAAAATACAACCATGAGAAAAGCATTTAACTAAAACATTCAGCACAAAGACCCATTCCACCGGAAACACCCACTGAAAACAATCAGAAGAGGGAGAAGAGGGAGAAGAGGGAGAAGAGGGAGAAGAGGGAGAAGAGGGAGAAG